AAATCGTGTACGTTTTAAGTACAGAGTATAATTGTAAAATGTATTTTATTAAGTGTTTTTATAGCATATTAGTGTGTCTTAATCACTACGTGACGTATGAAAAACAACAACAAAACATGTCACCATTTTAGCGCTCTAACACCTGCTCTTGAGCCAGAGCAGTCGCATGGTGCCTGTCGCCAGCTCCTGAGGTAGAGTGACAGTGCGTGTGTTGGTCTGTCTGAGAGAGCTATACCAGTGGACACTGTCAGAGTGTTCTCGGACACTTTAAGAGTTTGTTTATGAAATATACTTAATTTCGGGTGTAAACGAAATAACTTATATATGTTTTATATACATATTTATGAAGCGTCGGGACTCAGCTCCAGCTTCAGGTGCCAGAGGGAGTTCCGCTTTGACACCAACACACCCTTGGTCTTGTATAATTTGTCATAAGAGGGACAATTGGTTTAAGAAAAAAAATATTTTCGGCAAGAGTTAGAGTCGCCATATGGTAAGTTCACATTCTGCGATAAACTAACAAAAACACCAACAATCCGAATGATTCACAGTAACAAATAACAAAGCAAAGCTAATTCTTTTCCAAAATAGATTCCTCCACGTAACACATTATAATCAAAATTAATATATAAGAAATTTAAAGTATCATAACAATCAGTGATCACAACTTAAAGTAAATAAACCTTCATTATAATGACTAACACATCAGATCTAAACTAAAACCTCTCTCTCTATTAAATAGACATAAACAAATAAAAAAATGTCATCAAACTTCTTCCTCCTATAAAATTACATAATTTTAAAGAACATCTAACTTGCTATGCCCCCCCGTGACACAGCGGTATTACAAACAATGTGGAACTTGCTATGTTTACATAATTTTATGAAAAGATCTTACAGGCTCTCGGACTTCACCAAAGTTCAAATAAATGCATTGTTTATAGAAGATACTTCTCAGAGCTGCACAGAAAAGAAAGTTGGAACATTATTTTAATTTTTCTTTGTGAATTACTTGAAATAAATATTGCATAATGACAAAATGTCAATTCTAATTGAATTAGTTAAAATTATTATTTTTACATTTTAAAATGTGCTCTGCAGTGTGGATAAGAGTAAACAGAAGTTAGAATGTATGTTGAAACTAGCTTTCTCCATCCACTCAAGAAATTACTCTTTTTTTATCTGAACATATGAAAACAAACATGATTAGATGGATGTTAGAATATGTATAAACAAGTACTTCTAGGTGGATATCAGAATATCCTTGCTGTCCTTCAAACAGTGCTCCAGATGGCTAGCATATCCATGTAAAATATGCATATCTATTTGACATGTATCCAATACAGTTGTGCTATCACCAACATGCTACAATATAAACTGCTGTGCCTACTGATTAAACACTGTGAAAACGGCTATTTTCCCTCATAAATGCTTAAATCATGCTTAAAAAACAAAACAAACAACTAGGAATGTAACAATATACCAAACTATCAGTAGATTGCAATTATGAATGTCCAGTAGCAGTGCATGAAGGATAAATTTTAGAATTGATAACAACCACTGTTAGTAACTCTCAACTATTGATGTTTTCGATAGTTTGCAATCCTGATTTTCCCAATTCTCTGTTATACTTAAGCCATTCATCAGTAATTTCCTTGTTTTAGATTGGTTTTTCAGTCATCTTACAAAATTCCCACCTCTTCATTAGCATGTAATCAACTTTTTCAAGTTATTGTGAATTCAAAGTGACTGTCCCTTTTTGTTACAATCTTACAAAAATCTTACCTCTCTTCATCAGTGTATAACCAACTTCTATGTTATTGTGAATTCGAAGTGACTGTTCCTTTTGTTACCACCTTACAAAAATACCACCTCTTCATCAGTGTGTAATCAACTTCTATGTTATTGTGAATTCAAAGTGACTGTCCCTTTTGTTACCACCTTACAAAAATACCACCTCTTCATCAGTGTGTAATCAACTTCTATGTTATTGTGAATTCAGAGTGATTCCCTTTTTGTTACCAACTTACAAAAATCCCACTTCTTTGTAACTGGAAGAAAAATGTTTAAATCAACCATTTAGTAACATACTAAATCCCTGATCTAGAACAGTCCAATTACTCTTCTACCTAGAAAACTTTTTTCAAAAAAATTTTCTGCTGAATAGTAATCCTCACAAAAACATAAGCTATCAGGACCACTGACAAACAATAGCACATGCAATTATGTACCTAATCCAAGCCTCAACAAATATTTTCAGATCTAGGAGCCAGCCCAAAAACTTAGGAGCCAGGTCTAATATAGAAAAGTTATGGAATATATTTTGAGTCAGTTGTATGGTTATGGTACGAGGCATACAGTTTTACACCAAAAGACAAAGGGTTAGTTATTAACCTTTATTACATAACATATATTAAGCTTCCATATGTGCAATTATTAAAATAGTAGACTAAATAACTATAACTTAGGTGGATTCTTGCAATGAATGAAAGTAAAATAAAAATAATCACTACAATATCGATATACCAAGCAGGTTGTTTCAGAATAGGTCTAAGCAAAGATCTTTTGATGTTCTTAACCTAACTTCACTACTGTTTGTACTGGGAAATGGGGTCTATATTTATTTACTTTCACAGCAACGAGTGCATGCTAACTATCACATGATTTCAACAACCACTGGATAGTATTGCCTGAACCAACTACCTATGGTCCTGTCTGATTCTAAACAAGTACACTGATTGGTTGAATTTAGAGAAAGAAGAAAATGGTGTGAAATTTGTAACATATCGTGCAACCTCAGCGCTTCATACCTGAAAGAACACGAAGAAGTGCTGAATCTGCCATTAAAATCGTAGAAACAAGCTTTGATTTCACACTCAAAGAATGCAAAAATAGTTCTGGACTTTCAAGAGTCCAGAACTGTTTTAGATTTGGATTCTATTTAGTACATCCCTATGCACGAATATAATGGGAGAAAATATTAGGTGCCATGATGAAATTTTTAGTCACCATGGCGACCTGGCATCCATGGTTTGTCGAGGCCTGACCTAATCAAACTTAAAGCGAAAGAAACTAGAACACCTCCATAATGTGACAAACATAAACTCTACAAATCTCATGTGTAACACACCCTCATATCAATGTCCAAATCATATGCAATGACAGCAATTGCTTCCTGACTTGAGCAATTTGCTATACATCTTTTGCCAGCAGCAGTAAAGTTTTGCTGTCTGAATGAAATATATCTGATCAACATGATATAATAAAAAATTAAGTCTTTGAAGTTAGGGCACCAAATCCAGGACGAAATCATGCAGCAGTAAGTGTATTAATCAGAAAAAACACCACAGTAAAGACAGTGGTTATTCTGAAGAGATTTTTTCACATAAAAACACGAGTGGGGTACAACGCAAGCATTCTAACCAAGGATCAAAAAAGAAAAACTTAAGATTCTTGTACTGTTAAATATTTTTGGTGGAATCATAAAATTAGAAAGTTTTCCAAGATAAATCTCAGGCAACAGCTTTGTTACATTCCACCTTTACAAGAAATATTTTTTATCTTATATATATATATTGTGAACCGTGGTGTCTGTCCAAGCATTTGCCTGTCTCCCATTTGAAAAGCTGTGCATGCAGGCAAAGCTCAACATTCACTGTTGAAATGATGGGAGAACAGGCATGAATAATGTTGGTCAAATTTAATTTTACAAGCAGGGTATTCTACACTAAATTATTAGGAGTTAATAACACTATCATTCACATTTCAAAATGTGACAACTTCAAGAATAAAAATGTAGTGAGAAAAATCATAGAAAGTCTGATAGAAGCTTTAGAAAATATTTTATTGAAATACATCATAAAAGAAAATCAAGATGGATTCACAAAAAAAGAAATTTTGCCTCACTAAAATGTAAATGTCTGATAATTGGATTGCAAACAGAATTCTTTTTATTTCATATTCAACTATTGTTTTTGATAAAAATTACTAAACCCAACTTGACATAAGCCTGAAAGAAGTCTTACACGGACAAAACGTGGATTGATATTATAGCTTCCTATGTGCAGTATTAATCAAATGTAACTGGACATAATTATGATATCTAATGGCCTTGATTAGTTTTTACACCTAGTGATACAATATTATTTGTTAAGTATTCCAAAATTTTAATTATTTTATTACTTGTTTAATTGACACACAGCACACATAAACAGATGAAACTATCTACCTGATTTTACCTGTACAATAGACAGATGCCATGTTGTAATTATTACGTGACTGAAACACAGATGTTAAAATTTTACTGGAAACAAATATTGGTGCAAAAAAAATTCCCCAAACACCAGATTTTGACACCACCAACAAAAAAATAAATAAATTAAAAAACTGCAATTTTGACAAAGCTCACAGTAGCCCTGTCTTATGAACAAAGTTTAAATTTTTCAAGAGAAAATAAGAGTAAAAGGTTATTTTATAGAAGTTGCATGATTATATGGGAAGGTTGAAAGAACTAAGAATAAAGGCCACTGATTTCTTTATGGTGTATTTTGAAGACAACAAGTGGAGAGATTTTGTAAAAACCAAGAGTAGGTTCCAATGAAAGAGTTATTAGCTTATGAAATGAACTTTCACCAGTAATAGGGGAGGCTGACACCATAAGAGTTTATAATGGAAACTGTTTATTTCCTAAAGGGGTTTAATTTCTTTTTATTCTCAGGATGTGCAAGTACAGCATTAAATAACCAAATGGTCCCTTACTGTCAACATATACTACAAGAATAAATGGAAAGGTTAATCTGTGTGCACGTCCTTAGTTCTATTTTATCTGGTAGATAATTATAATGATGTTTTAAAAATAAATTTATTTCAAGAATAAACAAATTTTTAAGGCATATACCGACTTAAAGGAAAGAGAAGATAAAAAGTCAAAAACTGGTCAGCTGTTTGTTTACTTTTTTAAAACTTTAACTACAAATTTATACAAAACTGCTAATACTTACATAACAAAGTTTTGCAACAGCATTTGCCTTGACTGCAATGTTACCATGTCGAAGTTCCTCTTTAATTTCTTCAATACACTGGCCAACATACTTGACCTGTAAAAATATATTAAATATATATCTCTCAATTATTATTTCATTTCGATATGTTTTCTTTATTCACTATTTATGTTATATTAATTTTTTTGGCTTGTTTTACTTATTTTGCTCGTGTGTGTGCTATGGTCAAGCCAGTAAGTTTGTTGTTGGTTGACATTATTGTGTTGAAATGGATTCAGATGTATCTTGTTTTGAAAGCATTACTGTAAAAACGACTTAAGTTATCAGTTAGTCTTAAAATAGTTTATTGAATTAAATACAAAAATTGGTTTTGAATAGTTTTAGCATGTAGCACAGATAATTTATTATAGTGTTTACATTAAGTATTTGCTAAGTACATTTCTTATTCAATATAGTAAAATAAAAAAAAAACATTTTATTTGAGAAATATTGCCAAATTCTTTCTCTTTTCACATTGCTAATTCTCTATAAACCTTTTAATTTTTAAGTTGTGTTACTTTACAGAGAGAAATGTTTTTTTTTAATAGCTTCTTAGATCCTGTTTAGTGGTTTATCTAAATATTACAAATCTTCCTCTAAAGAAGAGTTAGAAGGGAGGTTATTGAGGAATTTAGGATTTTTAAGGGAATCCATAGTGGATTTGGATTATTTGGTGAATTGGGCAAATAAATGGCAGATGGCTTTTAATTACATTAAATGCGTGGTTATACATGTGGAATATCCCAATTTTAATTGAGTATAATTTTGATGGAAATAACTTTAACAGTATTACAAAAAAAAAATATTTTGGTGTTCTGGTTGAAAAGTCTTTCAAGCCATACAAGCAATGTTTTGTTGTTAGTTAGTGGCAGGGCAAATAAGATTTTAGGTTGTATCTATAGAAATGATTAATACAAATATAAAGAGGTTATCATGTCATTGCAAAGGTCATTGAGTAGGCCATAGTTGGTGTATTGTGTTTGGTCTTGAGCTCCTTACTTCAGAAAAGACATTCAAATGTTATGAGAGGTTCAGAGAAAGGCTATTAAGAGATACCCGAGATGGAATTGTTATCATATGAAGATATATTAAGATCATTGAACTTGTTTTATTCTTTAAAAAATAAGAAGAGTTTACAGCAGATCTGAATGACGTATTTAAGATTATTAAGAGATTTGATAAGTGTTGAGCCATTATCTTTTTTCATATCTAATGGTGAAAATGGTAAGACTAGGAGACACAAATATAAATGTTATCAGGGAAAAAGTCATCTTCAGTTAAGACAGCTTTAGTTTTCTAACAGGGTGGTTGGACTCTGGAATGAGTTGCCTTTAGATATGATGGATGATGCAGTTAATTGAAGCGAGTTTAAGGGAAAGCATGATAAACATTTGAATGATAAGGGTTAACTTTGAGTTGTTTTTTCTTATAGGGTTTAATTTAGTGGACAGTACAGATTAGATGGACCAAAATGTCCATTATTATCCTTTAATTGTCTGTTATATTAATATTTGAGTGATAAGGACTGGTTCCAAGCATTTTATTTTTAAGTTTAGTTTAATGGATGGGACAGAGACAAACACATCTAGATGGATATTTATCAAGTGTTATTCAGTT